GGGGGGGGGAATGCTGCAGTCTGGACTGTTTCTCTCAGCTCGGTAACAAAAACTCAATTCAATTTTGTATCACCCCTGCTGTGCAAACAAGCCTCCCAATCCAGCCAAATAACAAATTGTATTTTAAAGTTCAGGGAAATCTTCTTAAATTTGACCGAGGCACTACTACACCTTTGCAGTGGAAAATAACTGAAGCGTGTTGCCCCGAAAGAAATGTTCGAAATCCTGTTTTCTTGATGGTGTGTTTTGCAGGCGGGGTAACGGTCGGTCACTCACTTGCATGTTTGTCTGCCAGGGCGATGAGTGTGCCGGAGATGTCCCTGCGTCGGTAAAAACACACCACTTTGGCCTCCACGTTCCCATTGGCTGTCTGCAAACCAGAGACAATCGGCGTTACCACGGCAACAAGTGGTGCCGCACACAGAGCACCCACACACGCACACACAGATGATTAAAAAAAAAAAAAACCTTAGATGAGGAGAGTTCTTAACTATGGCTGAAAAAAACTCAGTGTGAGGCTCCAGCTAATTCTCCCAAAATCACTTTATGTGTCGCAGTTATCGGGACAGAGCGGTGTGTTCAGGGGGCGTCTGTTTTGTTAGTTGTTTTTTCCTCATAATACTACATAGGTATGATGATATTTGTTTTTATTTAAGAGCTGCATGGTTTGTTATTGACTTTATTGAATGATACCTTAACATTAAAACTCAAGGTAGAACAGTTAAAGCAATAAGACTCATTGATAAATTGATTTGTAGTACTTTTTTTACTTGCAACAACAACAACAAAAAAGACAAAATAATCAGTTTGAATTTTATTATAGGCCGGGTAAATTAGATTAGGATTTTTCTCATGAATCACTCTAGTTAAATATAATGCAAGTAGAAGATGGATGGAGAAAAATCCAACACATCCAACATCCAGTCATATTTCTTTACATTATATATTTTTTTATACTTTTCCAATCAGAGAACAATTAAGAATCTAATTTCCCATATTTCTGTGTTTGAAAACAGAGCGTAATACAAAAGAATAAAAGGTAATATATTAATAGTCAGAATTTGTCATGAGTATAGGAGTTATTTCAAGGTTAAACAACAGCAGCTAAGCAGATTGGAAAATGAAATAAAATGTAAATCTTCTCAATCACTTCAGTACCTGGGTTAACGGTGTTACATTTAACCAAATGTTTTCTTTTCGGTGATTCATTTCACTAAAATTGATTCATGTATACATATTTATATGTGCAGGAAAGTTAACACTGTAAAATGAACTTAAAGCAAAACAAAACCGGAGACAATGAGAGAGTGGCGAGGGCAGCGAGAGAGAGGAAGATGAAGAATGGATCTGTTATCACAGGGAGGCGTTGAGGTGTAGTTTAAGCATCTGGCACTCAAGCAGCCGAGTGAATACATGTTCCTTGCTGATATTAGTTCATTTATCACCTTTTGCAACTTCAAAGTAATGGCAGAGAAATGATCAGAAACTATTTGTTAACCAATCAATTGTTTCGGTTAGTTATTTTAAGGAAACATGTTTAAATATACTTCAGTTCCAACTTTCATTATGTGAGGATTTCCAGGCTTTTCTTGTCTGATGTGATATTTAAGTAAGTCATGTAAGTGTTGTTCAGACAAAACTAAACATCTGACAACATCATTTGGCACATACTTCGCCCTTTTCTTCCACTTTAACAAAGCATGGATTTATTAGTGTCAGCCTTGGATTCTTAACCTGTAAATAAAATCATTTACGTGTTTAAATTGTAAATTTGTATCTTTAAAATGTAAAAAGACATTACGCATAAAGGCTCCAGTGTGTTTTTTAGCAGTTTTGAGCAGCTGCTGGTTGTCTGGACTTTTCCCCTTTACCGTTTTATACTTTCTAAACACGCATCTCAAACTTTATGTTAAGAGAAAGCCGGCGCTCCCTGCGGGGCGGGGAGACTGACAGTGACGGCAGAACAGAGGCTTGCTCTGCGCTCCGTGTCAATCACATCAGACAGCCGGCAAGTTATCCACACAGGCCGGGACAGGGGACAGACACGGGGCCCCTGTAACCAGTCCGCAGAGACGGGACTCTTTTTCTGCTTCCTCGACTGAACAATGTGCACGATGGCAGGCTGGGGTTTACCTGACAGCATCCTGAGCAACATTATTATCTTAGGTGTGACATCTCAATACAAACACTGTTTTTACGGCTTTAAAAGGCAATACAGATATGGCCTTTTAGAACCACACTTCCTTTACTTTAAAGTGGTACATTGCAAGTGTATTATTCAAAGCAATAACTATCAATATCACCATTATGTTATAAGCATATCAACAAGCTGGTCATAGATGATTACTGTTAAACAAAACATTAGTATAAGACAGAAAAAAGCTGTTAAATAACCCAAAACAGATTTATGACAACCACATTTTCCATTTAACTTTAGGTTAGGAAATTGTAAAGCTACAAATAACAAATTTTTTCATTATAAATAATTGTGTGGATCATTTCTCCATTATTCAATCAATAATTAGGTCTAAAAGCTCAATAAAAGTTTCCTAACAATCTGAAGTCTACAAATCTGTGATCTTCAGTTTGCTGAAATCCCCAAATCTGCAAATCCTCACATTTCAGAAGTTGAAATAAGGGAATGTTTGGTATCTTTGCTAAATTACTTAAGAATGTATTGGTCATCAAATTGTTTGTTTGGCTAAGCATTTCAGGGCTAGACTGGAATAAATGCAACAACAACAAAACCAGAATGCACTGATGTTGAGTTTCATAAGATGGATAAAACAACTGGAAAAGACAAAGAGTTTAATCTTATCCCCTTATAAAAGTCTGATATTGAACAGTCCAGGGTGTCAGGTAAAAGATCCAAACTAAGCTTTATGAGACCCCAAAAGGGCGAGTATATTTTTTACAGTTAAACATTTACTTTAGTTATTAAAGTAAAGATTTTTTCGGTTTAATATCTAACAAATCAGACGGGAGTAGAGTGGGTTTTAAAGGTGTAGCCTTCAGATCTGTGCAGCATTCAAGCACACTCACCTTGTTCAACTCCTCTATCCTCCTGATCAGCAGTGGGTTACTGGACGAGTTCTCAAAATAAACATAATCTGCAGAGGAACAGCGAGAAGGAGGAGGAGGAGGAGGAGGAGGAGGAGGGGAATGGAAAGAGAAAGGAAAAGAGGGAAGAGAAACGTCAGTCAGCATTTCAGGTTCATCCAAATGTTCAGGTTGCTTTCCAGTTGAACAACACTGACATCTTTATAAAAAAAAAAGGGGACACAGAGACCTACTAAATACTAAAGAAGCATTCATTTTGCACTGACTACCGAATGTCATTATTGATGTTTTTCAAAGGAAGCTTCATATTTGATGACGTCATTCCACCAAAACTAATTAAAAAACGTCTCTTCAAGTCGAATGAAGGGATTCGTCGGGTTATTTATAAGCCTGTTATTTTTAAACTTTGATTTTAAACAGTGTGACCTTTCTACAGTCGTTGGCATGAAAATGATGCCGATACATATTTTGATCTGAGATAATGTGAAAGAGCAAAACAGTGAAAATTGGGTTGGGTAATTTGTTAGATAAAAACATGTCTCTTAGAAATGAATCCATCTCTTTGACTTCACAACACTCAAGCAATTCGGCTACAATACTAGTACGCAACACTGTCATCTAATTCTAGAAATAGCTTAATACTTACAAAATAATGTAGTGTAATCTTTACCGAAAATTGTGCAGAGATACTGGGCATGAACTGAATGAAAAAGACATCATGTTCACATCATGATCTTGAACGTCAACGTCTTGGAACGATTCAGGGCGTCCATTTTTTATAAATAGGAGATCCTGTCTGAAGGTCTGACTAAATGAGACGTTGCCGCACAATAAATGTGTCTCTCTAAAGCTCTCCATTCAGACTGCAGCCTTGTATTTCCTCATGTTTTCTTTGTCTTATCACCCTTCATCCTCCCCATGTGTGTTTGTTGTTTGCATGCACAGTGTGTCTGCATTTTGAGAGCGTGTGTAGGAGACTGCACAAGCATTTCTACGCATGTGTGACTTAACTATGCATTTCTGTGTGTGTGTGTGAGTGTGTGGCTCCTGGCACTGCTCCAGGCCCAATGGAGGCTTAGCTCTCACCAGGATGTCCCCACAGGCCCCACTCTTGGTAGGGTGCCTGGTCTTAGCCCTGCATGTGTCTTGGCTGAGTGCTGTCAGATTATACCCCACACTTGGTTGGCTGCCTGGAGCTGGAGCTATCCTCCCTTCACCCTGAACCTCACCCGCCCATCCCCCACGCTCCTACGGGCCCCGTCTTCATGACCGACTAGGCCAGAGATCGCCCGAGAAAATTCCAACAAAACAACCTCGAAACACACCGACTCCTGCTTTTATTTCCTGAACCTCCCGTGTCTAACACTCACTGGTTTAGGCATGCACTCATCATGATCGCAACATTTCGGATCTGCACCGACATCCACAACTATCTTGACATAAATAGAAAAATCCACCTACAAACACTTAAAGGTCCCATGTCATGGCCATTTCCACTGATCATAATTCCATTGTTGAGGTCTACTAGAATAGATTTATATTGTGCAATTTTTCCAAACTCACTTTGGTTTCTCATACAGCATCTCTGGAAACTACGTGTATTCACTGAATTTCACTCTCTGCCTTTAACGGCTCGTTGTAGCTCCAATAGCTCCAGCCCCCACCCTCCCTGTGAGCACAGTGTGCTCTGATTGGTTGGGACGTTGTGAATCGCGCTGAGCTCCGTGGAGGTGTGGTTTCCGTGTTTAGCGATACACAGCGAAACACATCCAAACTCATCCTGAGCACACACAAAGTCACAGCCGAAGTAAAAACAATAAGTGTGGCTTGATATTGAGTAAGAAAAAGGTTGATAAACGCTCTGAGAATGGGTCTGCAGAGAGAATTTCGCAACTGTCTGTTATCAGCCTGCAGCCAGGGAGGAGAGATCAGCAGAGCTGCCTGCACTGAGTGTGTGTGTGAGGAAGTCCGTGGATTGGTCAATTTGGACCAATCAGCGGGGGCTTAACGTAACGGCTCCGCGGACGTAACGTAACGGCTCCACGGATTGGTCCATTGGTTTCGAAGAATCAATGGACAGTGACGTATCTCCAACGAGGCGTTTTGGGGAGGTATTTTCTGTGTTAAGAGTTTTACTCGCTACAGGGTGTACTTTGAGGGTTTTGACTCTGCAGACCGTTTACATGCATAAAAACCTTCATAACACACAAGGGGACGGGTAATAACAGGAAAAGCATGACATGGGACCTTTAAATACTCTAAAAAACATCATCTGTTATGCATCTTGTTGTGGGCAAACCACTTTTTTTGGTGCAAATACTTCCAGACATTGTAACATGGTTGAATACGAATACAGTAAATTGAAAAGGAAAAACACATTTTGGTAGGTGTGAAGCTAAAAAGATCCAAACCATCTCTGTTTCCAGCTTCTTCAAATGTAAGAAAAAGGCAGCTTTCTTTGCTTAATACGGTCCTAAATCGAATATCTTTAGTTTGTAGTACGCAAATCTGGAATCATCGGTTAGGATTGCAACTAATGATTATTTTCCTACTACATAAGGTAATCGTTTTTACTATAAAAACCTTGGTCTCCAGGAAACTTTGATTGGCATTTTCTTTATCATCTTCCCACAATTTATAGACTAAAGTGTTTCAGATCTATAAATAGTAAAACATAACGTCTGCTGATTAACTGCCAACAAAAACAATCAAGAAATCTCAGAGACAGCGGAGGAAGACACGTAAATGTATCTCAAACAGACAAACCTTTGACTAAAAAACCTTTTGCTCAACTCTCCCTATTGGTATTCCTCTCTCCACCCACACTCACACAACTAGATTCACAGCCACTCTTTGGAAGGAGGGGAAAATGTAATTTGTCTTCAATTAAAGTAAATTCAATACAATTACTCCTAATATGAACATTTATCTGAAGAAGTAAGAACTGTATACTTCTTTCCTTTTGGGTTAAGGGTGAACCCAGGCACTAACAGTAGTTCAGGAAGCATGTAGAGTGTAATTTCTATAACAGTGTATTTTGGCAACCTTACATACTCCCAACTCAACATCGCTACGAGGCGAGAAGGGATCGTCACATCACGCCTGTCTACTCTTCACCCTGAAACAGCTTGTTACTAGATTCCGCTGCCACTGTGACATCTTCGTCCTGCTGCTGAATATCAAATAGGCCAACTTGAAATTTAGCGTTCCTGAGACAGAAAATAAAGACAGGATATCGGACTTGCTCATTTCCAGGCAGACCTGGAGGTCAGAGGCTGGCTGAAAAACTGTGAGTGGGGAAAAGTGAGTGAGACTCCATGCCATTTAGTGAGGAACCACAGCAGGGACAGGCACCGGCTTCCCAAATGTAAAGATTTTTTGCTTTTTCAAATCATTAATCCAAGAAAACTGAGTATTTTTGAACATTGGACTGGTCCCTCAAATTACAATGTGTTGACATCAAGCTGAAAATATATGATTTTCCAAGGATCTTTTGTTTAATATGTCTTTCTTTATAATAAAACAAAAATGTGTCTAATAATAAAGAACCTGATAAATAAAAATCCTGACGCTAATTCACCACTCCAGTGAAAAGAGTACGAAGATACTATACTGCTCTCCTATCAATAAAAATTGCATTATGAACATCAGGGGATTTATCCATAAAGTTAGCTTTAATATGGAAGGTGTTCAAAACATGTGAGTTTAAGGGGATGTCTTCAAATTTGAGTCATTATTCTATACAACGAAAAAAGGGTGTTGAGTACAAGGAGATGACATCAACACTAATTGACTCGCCTCATAGTTTCGGTACAAATTTGAAAGAACATACTTCAGCTGGACACACTGAATAATTCAAACTAATTGCTGCTACAAAAAAACAAACTTTTTCTAAATACATTAAAAGATATTTAAATCTGTCAATATTCAAAAGAACACTGAGCAAAATGTAGTTCCTGGCTTCAAAACATGGAGGGGTCTTATGATAAACCACAGAGAGAAAATGTTGACGTTTTTTTCTTGGCCTTCAATGTTCTCAAGCTCTGAGGGACCAATTAAGCGAGACTTAAAATGCGTCATGAACGTTTCAAACCGAAGCAGAACCACATGTCAAACATTCGGCTTTGGAGTGAGGTTGGTTGTGAATGGCAGCCACGAGGTATGTTATTTTGGGGTGGGTTGGTGACAGGAACATGTCTCCTCGTAGTCCCGCATTAAGAGTCACTGCGAAGGTGGGATTTTGGGCTCAGTTCACCAATTTTCTTTTTCGTGGCTCGGGAACCTAAGTTACCAAAAATGGATTCACTTTTAAGTTCAACCCATGTCCTTGCCTTGCCACCTATGGCGAGAAGAATAACAAAAATGGCAAGAAAACAGGGAAATGAAGAGTGGGAGTTTCCACCATGTGAGGAGCTGAAGCCTTGTAGAGAGCGAGCTGCAGAGGAACTCAAAATGAGAGCAACAGAGAGAGAGAGAGAGAAAGAAAGAAAGAGGGCCTGTAGGCACTGAGCAGCGTCACTCAGTCTCTCCATTTTCCCATCAGCCCTCCCGCCGCCTCAATCCGCGTATAACCTCCCCTCCCCTCCACCACTCTCCATCCCCCGCTCCCAACGCCAGCCAATCCGCCAGCACCGGCGACTGTGATGTCACGGTGCAGTCGAATGTTGTGCGAGCCAATCGAGGCATGTTACCGAGCCTCAAAAGAGAGAGAGTCTGCTGGGCTGATTCAAACCAGGCCAGAGAGAGACGCGAGGATGAGAGAGGGGAAAACATGATAGCGGATGGACTCGGGGACAGAAATGGACAAAAAAGAATTACAAAGCTGAGCAGAAATGTTAAGTTGGCGAAACTGTTAAACCACGAGCAAACATCCTAAATGAGACAAAATGAAACGAGGTCCATTATTGACATTGAGAATTAATTGGAAAAATATATGACCATACAAAAAATTAAAAACTCAAGGATACCTCTCCAAACTACACACTGTACCTACAGTAAGACAGTTCTTCCTGTGTTAAACTTCTTTATTTTTTCGCTATCTGAATAGAAG